ATGTATATATTACGCTGACTAATAAATAATCACAAGGTTAATAGAAATTTTCTCTTCTTTAATTTTCGTTGGAGATCGTTAACTGAATAGATTTATTATATATTTATATGTATTACCTATTTATTTATATTATATACGTCTTAATTGTTGTTAATCCACTGCTGTAGTGCCTGCTGAGAAGTCTACGTATAATAAATATTAAAATTATGCGTAGTAAGTGTATATACTTCATATAACGTTATATATCATATACAGAGCGATTCACCAGGAAAAAGATCCTCTCGTTTATTCCTTTAATATAATGAAAAGTCATTCGAATTCTGATTTGTAAAATATCTTAATATACATAAAGATCAAATTGTAATTATTACTTTATCAGTCTTGTAACAATACAAACTTTTTATCAAACGAACCCCCCCCCCCTATTTTCTATCATAAATTGTTTAGTGGATAATTTTTCAAAAAATGTTGACGTATCTGAATATAAAATCGAATGAGTTGTTTTTGGTCTATTTAACTTTATTTACGTACTACGAATGATAAATCATTGATAATGAGTTTGGAAGGTATGGTGGTGACTATACGATGATTATTTGTAAAAACGGTTCAAATATGATAAATACTAGATCCAATATTACACTTATACTTAATATTTTTGTAATATTAATTTTATGGACAATTAATTATCCTCGACATTTTAATAACTGAAAGGCTATATACGGTATACTCGTTTGAATTTTGAATTAGGTATATCAAAATTTTCAAAACATTCACTGCTGTCCTGGAAACTAGACATTTTAAAAATATGGTCTACGAATATATTTAAAAATGCATTATCAATAAGGGTGAGCAATGAGCTGCCTGGTGAATCATCCTGTATACATACATATTATATATAATATATGTATTGTAGTCATATAATATTAATATTTATAAAACTTAATTATGTATATATATACCGCGAGTATGATTTTATCGATTTGCGTGAGCAACGATAGATAAAGATAGATGTATGATATACAATGGTGACGAATTTTGCGTGCGTTGTCCTCTTCTGCGGTGGTTTATTTATATTTTTATTGTGTTCTTTTCAAAGTATGCTTTATTGAAATATATCCTTCAGTTGCGAGCACATTAAAACGATTTACATATTATTTTATTTGGTTATTAGAGAGAGTTCGGAGATGTTCTCTTTTTTTTCCTCATCGGCCAATACGTTACATACAATAAAGAAAGTCTTTGGTTTCCATTCGAATAATCGAATTTCGTGTCTAGTGTAACGTAGTTTTCTTATAAACATTTCACCGTTATTCTCCCTGCAGTAGGTATATAGATATACATCTCGTCCACTGTTATTTGTATATAGGTACTCAAGTACACGTGGAGTCTGTAACACACAATGAGACACGTGCACTATGGTAAAATTGTAAGCTATTCAAATGTGTTGTATGATTAAATGGAAAACAAAATTTGATATCAAGTGGATGTTTTGTCATATTATAAATTTTAATTAATAGTTATAACTTATAATGTATCTGTTTAAATTTTTTAACAGGTTGTATAGCATAAGGTATAAATGATTTTGTGATACATAATAAATGACGAAATCTATGGTTGCATATACATATAGTAAGGTCTTGCATATATTTGTTAAATTATTAAAAACTTATTAGTTTTCATTCGACCTCGTGAAACACAACAACTATAGACAATTTGATAAGATGTCAATTTTCTACTCGTTTTTCAATAATATTATAAATTGTTGAATATTGTTTTTGCATTCAATTATACACGTTTCATAATAAACGTGCAGTATGAATAGTATGATATATGCTCTCAATAACATTTAGTTATATGTATATATTATATATTATTATAGGTTCTATATTATGTAAACACCCGGCTAGTTTCGTTTACACATTTCAATGTGTAAACACAATTATTATGTTTTAATTATTTTGTTGGTGTACTATGATATTATTATATTGTAATAACCATAATAGTATTATACACTTATATCATAGTGTTGCATAGCAGTGCATTTATTACAATACTGAAGTTGTGCCTAATAATAATAATTAGTGGTAAACAAAATCAAATATAACAGCGGTTCTCAACCTTTTTATAGTCACGTACCACCTACATAATTTGAAAATTTTTACGTACCACCTGACAATTTTTTCGCATATTAATAAATTATTAATGTATACGTTTATGTGTTACGTATAGAATTTTGTTAATAAATTAATTTTTTATAAAGGTAGATTTTCTTCACGTACCACCTATGAGCTTTCCGCGTGCCACTAGTGGTACGCGTACCACAGGTTGAGAAGCGCTGAAATATAACATCGATTAGTCATTCCCTCAAAAATATAATTCTCTATCTTTTTTGTAATGGATGAATTTTACTCAAAAATTGCTTAAAAACAATGCATTTTGTCTATGCTGAGCGTGGGTCAGAGAGAGATAACAAATAGTGCTCCGACATCCTCTTAACGATTTAATAAAATGCAATACACATACGCGCCATGACGATATCACATCACGATAATAATAATAATAATCTAATATTWTATCTTATAGGTACGGTTCTCTTGGACGTTTCGGTTTAAACGCAATTTTTTTTCTCTAAAGATGTATAATATAAATCATTATCCGAATAGCCTACCGTTTGGCTTCTGTTTCTTTTATTCCTATTCCATTCAGTGCGTACGCATATATAGGTATTGGTACCTACTCAACAATGATGATGATGGTCCGGGATGACACAATGCGATGCGTACAAAGCAGGTTAGCGTTCGACGTCTGCAGCGTATGTATGCATATAATACGCGTGGTATAGGTATATACCTCCATATCTGTGTTAATGTATCATTTTCTTTTTTATCTGAAACTAACGGAACAGGTCATTGGAGTTCCGGGGAGAAAGTACTATAAGTTATAACTGTAAACACGGCGATCCGAAAAATCCCCTAAAACTGATACATTTTCGGCGTTTTACGTTTTTCATAACCAGTAGCCAAGCGCGGCGTGTACCTAACGGGACAGGTTTGAAATGGGTCCGAAACCGTATTATAACGGTCCTGTGACGTAAAATTTGTGGATATTACTGTAATTTTTTTTGATACCCCGCGCGGCGACGACGGCTACCGTTTCGTATACCTATTATAGGTACACACATATATTGTATACGCGCCTTTCTCCGGAGACGAAAAAAGAGAATATTACAATATGTGTGTGTGTGTGTGTGTGTGTGTGTGCTGGAGAAGAGAAACGAAAAGAAGAGAAAATCACATGTGGGGAAGAGGGGAAAAAATCTGCCACAAAGAGAAAAAGGCGGAACCACTCGTGAGAAAAGGCGTGATGGAAGAGAATAGGAAAAAAGAACGGTGGGAGACTTCGGGACAGGGGAACTGGAAAAAACGGATGGAGGATGGATGATGAGGAGAAGTAAGAAGAAAAAGAAATACTTTTCGAACGCGCGCACATTATTACTATTATTATTATTATTATTATTATTATTATTATATAGCAATAGGCGATATATGTGTTATCATCTGTGCACGGTTGAGTTTAGGGGTCAAGGCCGCCCGTTAGGTGTTCTCTCTCGTCGGATACCGTGCCGCGAACAGTTAACATATATATATATGTATACAGGGTGATTCAGCAGCTGTATGCTTACCCCCAATTTTTTTTTAGATTAACTAATTTATTCAAAATTCTGAGAGCTATAGAATTTTTAAGTGTACCAAGAGACTATATTTTCAAATGCCTGGGGATTTTTTATGCTATTTAAAGAGTATATAGTGGCTTTACAAACTTATTTATTCAAATGAGAACCTACACCTTTTTCATTGAAAATTGTTAAACAGATGGATGATTTACACATTTGAATGTACTTATCTAAATAACAATTTGAATTAGCATTGTTTCTGAATAATCATCGAACTATGTCTGCTATGGATAATAATCATGTGCACATGGATAGTATAATAGGTATCACAAATAATATTTTAGCCTTTTATGATTTGACTATAAATACATTACAACGTTTTTATAATTTATGTAAAATCATTATTATGGATTATTCTTAGTATTTCATGAAGTTTAATAACTATATAGAAAAACTACTAATAGTTGAACTTTGTTTGAATTTCCGTTTGTATATGCTGAATCAACATCAAAAAAAAAAAATCATATGCCTCACTCTAACATCAACAACTCAAAGCAACTGCATATATAAAGTGTGGTTCTCATTTGAATAAAAAAATTTGTGTCGCCACCTGACGAATTTTATAAACAGTATACGAATTCTAAGTATATTTATTATCTAGAAATATAATCTTCGAGGCAGTTTACCTACGGCGTACTAAACAATTTCAAAAATCGAAATTCGATTAATGAATATGTAACTGAATTATTTAAGGATAAAACGGGGAAGATCATCATCATAATATGGGTTACTTTGGAGAACAGATTGGTGTTGGGGCTCAACAACCCCCTCTCACCACCAGGATTGTTTGAAGACATTGAAGCTCACTCAGATTGTTTTGGGTTAATGCTTGTTAATTTTTGTTTTATTAATTTATATACATAATATTATATAGTACCTAAATACATACTTACAATTTTAAAAATACCCATATTAACTCAAAAATACCTAGCTATAACGTTAGAAGGTCACCGTACCCAATTTTTTCGATCAAGAAAACGTCATCACTTGAGCAGTGGAACCACCCGTCAATACCACCCCCCCTCCTGCCCCTAACCGGCAACCGCCCACCGTCTGTTACTTAAAGGCCATGTTACGCCTACAAATAAAGCAGGTGTGCGAATCACTCTGTATATTATATATCGCGCACGTGATCTCAAAACACACACACGAAAACGCGTATTTTATAACGACGTGCTCTGTATATATAGACTGTAGAGTGCCCGCGGTAATACATATTATTATTATATAGGTAAGCTGCACTATATTTTATTCGGACCGGCCGACTGATCTCATTTATCTCGCGGCAGACGCGCGCGCGAAGAAAGATAAAAACGACGGCGGCGTTGGTGAAGGCGGCGGCGGTGACGGTTACGGCGACGACGACGACGACGACAACKGTGATGATGATGACTCCGCTGTGAGTGCGAGCTCAGTTCAACTACACCTACCCGTCGGCGCACACGTGTTCCGACCATCGAACGTTCCGGGATTCAATATTATTTTTCAAGCAATTTTTTTTCTCAAAATATTTTCTCCGCGCCATCTTATTCCCGCCAATACCCACGAGACGCTCATCACTGCGTATAATTTCACATAATATTAATATTATAATAATTCTATACAACATGTGCAGCAGTATAGGAAATAGCGTGTCGTTGTGCTCTAAAATCGATCGGTAAACAATCATTATTATAACATATACATTTGTCATTTTAATCGCTTTATTATATTTCTCTAATGTAATTTCAACCGTATATATTATTATCTGGAAATCGATTTAGGAAATTGTAGGATGTGTCCGCGTACGAATATAATATAGGTACAATTTACAACACGCGCATTGCCAGCGATTAATAAAACATATTAACGATATAATAATATATCCACGAACATGTATATACATGTAAATATTGGTATTTGTCGTGTAGGTTTTAGCAATTATAAAATCATCATCGCGCATTAATCGATAAATGATCGATTCTAATTTATTTATAGAATGTATATTATATTATATACCATTTAGATGATATGCTTCACGCATATTAGCTATATTGTACACCATAATGCTCATCAACGGACGACTTTTTTTCTGTCCCAACTTTTATTAAAATATTTCATCTTTGTTTAATGTAGTATTGCAATCAGCTGTTCTAAGTATCTAGACCATATACGTATACCTATATAATACATAAATATGATGAAGCTGGTTGTGCGTTTTATTATCTTTTAATTATTAGGCATATTATACAAGACCGTCCATCTTGTGGTGCAGGAATTCATTAATGTATAAAAAACAAATTTCCGATTGTATTTTGTTTGCGTCATATTAACATCATATTATTATTTTATAATTTTTAGAACGGAGAGCCGCCGAAGCTGTCAACCTGGATTAGACGGTTCCAACAGCCGACCTAGACCTATAACGGCTGTCCAAAACTGAAGAGATAACGCTTATCAAAATCAAATCGACTTGCTCATTCAAAACGCGAATTTCCACTATACCGGTAAGTCATAATGTTTGAAAAATTTTGTTTAAAACACAATAACCACTTTGAACATGTTTTACACGTTTTTAGTGCTATAAATTAATTGTATTAATTATATACGCGATATGCAAGGGTCAATTAATATTTACTATGTCACCATATTATAAAAAATGTTTGGATTGAATTAAAATTAATTTATACCATAATTACCGATAAAATCGTATAAGGAATGTATTTATTAGTCGTTACTATTCTCAGATTTAAATACGAGATTTTTCTTTTTTTTCTGATGAAGTATTATTATTTTTTATAAATTATTAATATTTAATTCTATGTAAGTATATGTTGTAAGTACTATGTGTAGTAGGCACATGTAAATTAATTCCTAATTAATATGACTTTAACTCAATTGAATTATGTTTATAAAAAAAAAATAAGGAAATTCAAAGAAATAATTGTAATAATAACAATTGTTTAACGTTAAGTATTGATTTTATGTGCATATTTAATATTTTTGCTATTGAATATTAATTGTATTGAATTAAAACCTTATTATTCACTTAACCTAGCCAACCCATAGTATTTATTGCAGTAAAAACAAAAAATGATTTTTTACACTCCAAAATATGATAACTCAAAGAGACTTTACGTTTAACATTCGGTTAGTTTCTGTAAACCTTTAAAGACAAGATTAATGAATAAGTTATTTTATTTAAAACATAGTAAGCATCTAGAGGGTAACAGTTTTTTCATAATTTCCCTAAAGTATACAAAATGCTAACTATACCGTAAAAAAAATATTTCTGTGGTTATAACCATTCTTAAAAAAAACTAAAATATTAGTTATTTTCATAGTCTAATGTTATGATTATAAATGTTTCAGGAATTAAAATGAAGACCTCGACCGACATTACCATCAACAGGCCGAAACCATTGTTTCCAAAACCTAGTTGCTAAATAACCATGATTTATTATATTAATAAATCTAATGTATATTATTAAATATAAGTACTTTTCTTCCCTTGGTAGTTTGAAGTGGAAGTTTCAAGAACAACCCCTACTACGTTTCAGTTAGGCAAACAAACTAACTTTTTGTATTTTTTTACTCGGTACCTGAAATAAGTTTGCCTTTCGTACGGGGTTGATTGAAATCTTACTTACATTGTTCTACTATTACTTTCTTTCGTTACATTTTGTCTGTAATTTTTTTTATATTTATTCAAATCTACTTTTGATATATTATTATCATTTATGTTCAACAAAAACAATGTAATAATCACCATCATCTCTTAAACATATCATATTGTAAATCAGCGTCAACCTGTAAGATATATATTTTATGTAAACTATGTTTAAAAAAAATCACATTCCATGTTTAATTCAGTTATACATAATATGAGAAAATATTAATATTAAAAATCAAATTGTCTAATAAACAATAATATGTATGTCATGATTTTTAAGAATTTGTATTATTTGAAGTTATAAAAATAAGATATGTTTAGACTTAAGTACTGACTAATAAACTTAGATGTTCCGAATATAACTCACTGCGTTTTTCTTATTTTATTTATACAGCCTCTTTAATAAATATATATTTCTAATAATTTTATAAATATAATATAATTGTTATTTAATATTACAATTTCTACATTTCGTAAATATGATAAACATGAAAATGACCGACGAGCTGAAATGCATTACGATTCGACTAACTTTATAGTAATTAAACAGTTGTATCGAATTTAAAATTGAATTCATATAATAATATTTTTAAAAAAAAACGAAGTTCTAGACTCTAAACAGCGTTAATTCCCAGCCAAGTGTCACCAAAGGGTGATTTCAATTTAAGATATTCATGTTACTATTATAATATCATATATACTTATTGTGCTATGTTGTATAGATTGTGTATTTCAAATTGTAAAATAAAAAAAAATATATGTGTAATAATAATATGCATCGTGAGTATACTATATTGTTTAATATATATAATATATGCGTTATTATTATTGTATTAATAATATAGAATAAATTATTTCAGTATTATTTTTTTTCAATTTTAATTAATAATTTAATAAATAATAAGTATATATTGTGACTATTATTTTATTATTAAAGTAGATTCGTTATTTTTTTTTTTTTTTAATATGCTATAGGTGAGTACCTATAGCATATTACCTATAGTTACTCACGAATCACGATTGTAGATTTCCGCGATTGTATATTTGTGTCAATGGATAAAATGTTTGAAGTTGCTTGTTTTGTGGGACAAACCCGTCGGAAAGTTGCCTTATACGTTTCTATTCTTGTTTTGACATACTTAACCAAATGTAATACAGCATTTTAAAAATAATCTAAATAATTTCACACTCTACTTCCGGCTTCCACTCACAAATTGCGCATTTCTTCTATTATATATTATTATTTATTATTATATATAGTGAGTTTCCGATTTCCCGTTTAAGGTTAACATAAAATATATTATGCACTTCAACACAATATACTTTTTATTGACTGTACAACAATTGGGTCGTCTAGTATTTAAACCAGCTAAAAAAAATGCACTAACATTGAATGAATCATCGAGTGCGTTATCCGGTTACCAACAAATTGTATTATACAATTTATTTATAAGTACCTAATAGGTACACAATTAGTAATTACATGCTACAAGATAGTATGTAAAAGTTATAATTTGGCATAAGGTATAAGATTTAAGTTGGCGCATTAATAAAATTATGAATTTAAAGACATTGTTAAAACTTAAAATTTAATAAATCAAGATTTTTGAATGCTATCTAAAAAAAATTTTAGTTGCATATTTGTATTATTAATTATTAATTATGTACCTATATGTATTGTACATTGTGGTTTATTTTTTTTTTAATAATAATGAATGTAGTGTGTTGTTTATATCAATGACGGATCAAGTGGAGGACTAACCCCCTTCCCATAAAATAATAAAATCAAATGTCATATTACTCGTACTGCAATAACTGCATAGATTGTTTTTATTTCATAATATTTATATGGTTGCACCCCTGGATCTACATCCTATGGATCCGTGCCTACATATATCAATGAGGTACTATGTCTCTCGAATGTAAACATTTTTTTTTACTACTGGGGAAATTATTAGCATGAAATAAAACCACAGGAAAAACAAAAATAATAATATTATTGCGCTTATATTTTTCCAATATGGTAACGTAGAACGGCCAGTAGGTACATATAATATTATGCAATTTTTCTACTAATATTAAGTATACACTATACATATTACAATAGATTATTGTTATCACAATAATTATTATTATTATTGATATTACTATTATAATCTGTTACCAATTGCACCTCCACTCATTTATATAAGCAAACAAATATCCGACCTTCGTTTAACCAAAACAAAATCATTATGTGAGCACAATTTTTAATATCCTTTGTTATTGCACATCTAGAGCATTAAAGCCTAAAGGGACCTAACCTGCTGCAAAGGGCAAGATGAGAGGCTAGCTGAGGCCGAAGCAAGAGCTGCTCTAAACGTCTGAGCTCCTTCCGTCAAAACAGCAGAACGGGATGCCAGGCCTGCGGGTGTGTGCGACACCGGGCCGAGAATAGGATCGATAAACGAGATCGTCATCATTTATCTATGGGACATTTATGTTGTAGCATTAGATGTTGTAATATGTATATATTTGATGTTAAGTATTGTGATTATATGTTTTAACGTTATATTCATCAATAAACGATGGCAGCAGAGGAGTAGTATTGTGCAAACAGATCCTCCTCTGCTGTCGGTTCTAACCAGGAAAAAAAAGAAAATGGACCTAACCTAACCCAGTGGAGGTGGGGTATAGTATTATTTGAACTAATATTGCTACATGCCTACATGTTTGAAAACCCTTCGAGAACTTCTACTTATTAGGGGTGATGATAAAAATATTTCAAATATATGTACAATATGCTTCAAAGCCTCCAAAATTTCACGACGCTAATGACCTCACCTAACCTAACCTAACCTAATCATTATTCCGAATTCCTTGACTTTGTGTTCATACGTTTTGTCGCTTTAAGTTTACTGCACAAATGGCGCCATTGTTGTATTCCTTTTTTAATATTTTATTTTTCTGGACAGATGACTGTTTTATGCCCAACATGACCTATAAAGTTAATAACATTAATTATGCCAATTGGTATTGATATACTCGTACTTACGACGAAATTGCTTAAATGATTTCATATAGGTATACCATAATTTATAATATCGGGTAAATACTTAATTGTAATAACACATTCTAATTCTCATTGCGCGATACCTCATTTTACTCAACTGAGTCCTAAAAATTCTGATTTTCTTATTTTATCAAGGGATTTTGTATTTACCCCCCCCCCCTCACAACTCAAAATACATAGGTAGGTGACTGCAATTGTCAATTAATAATATATATATATTTTTTTATTTGCTTTTTATTAGAAAATAAGTATAGCAAAGCGATTACAATAAAATAAAAATACAATTGATAATAATTAATGTAATATATACGTCATATACGATTATTTTTTTATTGTTATTATTTGGGAGAACCGCAGCAACATAGGCCATTGGGATGTGGGGTGGGACGTTAGTGGTTATTTTTGTGTATATGTTTGTAGATTTTTAATTTGGTAGGTTGTAATACGTATTTGCGTATGAGTGGCAAGGATATGGTGGTCACCCATCCGGGAGCTATCAACTGCTGCATGTACGTACACTCAGCGCGTTTCCGCAGAATGAGCGTACAATACTACAATTGTGCCTGTGAGGCCACCAAACCACATTATAAAGGGTTATATTATCATCGCAAAAGACACATGCAGCCTAAATAGTAAATAATTATATAATTAAATATGTATTAATTATTTTATAATATTTTGAAAAGTAAAATTCAATGGTACTTTATTAGAAATTTAAGCTAATATAGTACTTATATGATGTGTATTATATACCTAATGCGGTCGCTATAGAATAGATTTCGGGGTGGATTGGCCAGCGATGAGTGATGCAAATGAAATTCAAAAAGGTTAAACCGCACTATGAGATATAGATCGATTATGGCAGGTAATAGGTATTATTAATTTACCGTATAAATGTACAACAGGTGAACGCACCGACTATGGGCGCGCGTATATAGGCTCCGGGACACGGATGTAAACGTGAAAAGAGCAACAAACAAGTTACCCTAACTTGACAATTTGCACTTGATTCTTAAATATTTTATCGACCTCCAACGACAATAAATAATAATAATTTACATTTATCGTTCGCCGCTCGGCTCAAAATCTAAAATTGAAATGAGTATTTCGTGCCAAATTATATGTGTCGCATTCAATATATTATGTAATATTAAATGTACCGCGGGTTGATGCCCTGGTTAGGCTTTAAGATTTTAGTAGGCATACCAGCTACTTTTAAAATCTCCACTGTGGAACGATAAAT